CCCGCGAGGCCCAGGCAGAGCGGCTGATGAGTCAGCAGAACGCGCAGGCGCGGCGTGCTCTTGCAGCGCCAGCCGGGTAGACAACGGGTCATGACGATGACGATGACGATGCTGTTGTTGATGAAGATGTTGTTGCTGCTGCTGATGATGATGTTGAGGTTGATGATGATAATGATGATGCTGCTGATGATGATGATGATGATGATGTTGTTGATGATGATGATGACGGCTGATGATGATGATACTGATGATTTGGATGCTGATGATGATGAGGAGGAGGAGGAAAAGGAAAAGGATGATAACGATGATGATGAGGAGGAGGAGCTTGGCGAGGGGAAGAAGGACGTGAGTAGGGCAGGATTGTATTCTACGATTATGATGATGGTGGTGGTGATGGGGAGGCTGATCTGGATGAGGATGATTGTGAGGAGGAGGAGGAGGAGGAAGAGGAGGAGGAGGCGAAGGCGGAGGGTGGAGGAGGAAGGGGGGGGAGGAGGCGGAGGAAGAGTAGGGAGAGGAAAAGGGGGGAGGAGGAGGAGGAGGAGGAGGAGGAGCAGCGAGCAGCGAGCACATTGGAAGACGCGCCGAGTTCGGGTGCGGTAACTAAAAGAGAGATGGGAACAGCGTAGTGGCACAATCTATCACATAAGACAGGACAGCGCCAACGCCGAGACAATTAGCGTGGTCGAGCGAGGGGGGTGCGACATCACCGACGCAGCACCCGAGGCCCTACTCGGCCCACGAGCACACACGACCAAGCCAAAAGAGTTCACACCGAAACTAGTTTAGCGATATGAGGCCTAGCCAACAAGCGGCCTCATCAGTGGCCACGAGCTCTCTAGGCACGGGAATGGAGGATGAGAAGGAGGAGGAGGACGAGGAGGAGGAGGACGAGGAGGACCATGTGGAGGAGGATTACGACGACGAGGTGAACGATGGAGGATACGGAGGTGGAGGAGAAATCAGGAATTGGATTAAGTATGTGATGATTTGGCTGCTGTTGATGACCATCTTAGTCATCATCATGATCATGGCCATCGCAGCCAGGCGGCGCGCAATGCCTGGCAAGTCAGACGTTGCACGCCGCCTGGCGTTCCGTGCGTCCGTCTGTCTGTCTTCTTCTCTTGCCGGCTCTCCGTTCTGCGGAGCTTAGAAGAAGAGTTTCTTGGCTCTGGAACGCGTCGGCCACCGCCGCCCTCTTCTCCTTGTCGGTGGCCCCGTCGAGGTTGGGAGCGACGACTGCCGAAGCGCGCCCCCAGGCTCAGCAGGGCATGAGGGTGCAAGCCCGATATGCCTGGCCGCTGTTCTTGGGGGGTTGAGGGGGGGCTCGGGGGGAGGCCGCAGTACCGCTCCGCTCAACGATGTGCTGTCTTCAAGCAGTGGCGAAGCGTCCCGGCTCGCCTACAGCCCCACCAAACAATGTTCTGAGAACCTTTTGTGGTTCCCACGAAATGTTCTTAGAACATTTCTGGCGGAGTTTGTCATGTTTAACACATCGGTTTTGTGTTCTAAAAACATTGTTTTTGTTCTGAGAAGTTTTTTGGGTTCTAAGAGCATTTCGTGGTATGACTATAGGAATGCCGGGACGGTCGGTCCCTGCTCAATGTCTGGTTATCAAACCTCGCAGGGTGGGCCCTCCTCAAAACCGTACTTCGGTGCGGATCGTTAGCGCGCCTCGTCTCAGTTGTCCTCGTCGTCGGCGGCGTCGTGCTCGTGGTGCGTATTGCTTTGATCGGGACCTTGCCCCCTTGTGCAGTGAACACCACCCATGACCATCAGGATGATGGCGGGGGATGTGACATGTTGGTGACGGTTCTGAGGATGTGGAGGAGATCAAGAGAAAGTTGGCCAGGAGCATGTCTCTTACGATAATACAGTTGATGTGGTGGAGGACGAGGATGTTGGCCAAGCATGATGAGATGAGGATAGTGAGCGGGAGGAGGTGGAGGAAGTCTGAGGATGATGGGCATAAGGAGGAGGAATATAACACGTAGTTGGGGGACAATGTGGGAAAGGCTGGAGGCGCTCGTGATACGAAGTGTGATGATACGAGGACGGCATGGAGGCGGACCACGGAGGCACACGATGATGACAATGATTACGCTGCTAATGGTGAGGACGAGTACGAGGAGGAGGAGGAGGATTAGGAGGAGGGGGAGGGGGAGCCCTATGGTGATGATGCTGCGGCCGTTGTCTTAGATGCTGATAAGGGTGATGACGGTGGACAGGTTGCTGATAATGACGTTACTGTTGTTGACGATGGCGGTAACAACGACGATGATGATGGTACCGCTGATGATGATGCTGATCATGATGCTGATTGTGATTATGATGATGGTGATGATTCTGCTGCTGACGACGATGCTGCTGATGCTGCTCATGACGATGAAGATGCCGACTACGCTTCCAGATGACGATGAACGGTGAGGGTCGGGATGATGCTGTTGTTCCTGTTGGCGACGAGGATGATGACGACGATGATGATGACGATAATGATGAAGAATATGATGACGATGATCACGACGACGGTTATGATGAGCACGATGATGATGAGTACGATGAGGATGAGGCTGATGATGATGTTGCTGATGATGATGAACATGCTGATGACACTGATGATACTGACGTTGATGCTGGCGATGATGATAATGATGCTGTTGATGGTGGTGCTGACGATGATGATGATGATGATGATGATGATGATGATGCTGATGATGCTTATGACTATGACGCCGATGATGATGCTGCTGCTGATGATGATGATGCTGATGATGATGATGATGATGCTGATGATGATGATGATGATGATGATGGCGACGATGACGATGCTGATGCTGATGATGCTGCTGATGATGCTGCTGCTGATGATGATGATAAGGCTGATGACTGTGATGATGGTGTAGATGCTGAATGCGGCGACGCCGATCATGCTGCTAATTACGCTGATGCTGCTGCTGATGATGATGATGATGATGATGATGATGGTGATGGTGGTGGTGAATGATGGTGACGGTGATGGTGATTGTGAGGATGATGAGGATGTGGACGAGGAGGATGGTGACGATAATGAGGATGATGGTGCTGCTGATGATGATGACGACGATGAGGATGCTGATGATGTGGTAATAATGACGCTTCTGATGATGCTGCTGATGATGATGCTGCTGATGAGGATGATGATGTTGATGATGATGCTGATGATTCTGATGATGATGATGATGATGATGATGATGATGATGCTGCTGATGATGATGATGATGATGATGATGATGAGGATGATGATTATGGGGCGGCGGAGGAGGAGGAGCATGAAGAGGAGGAGGAACATGAGGAGGAGTAAGAGGATGACGAAGAGGAGGATGGGGAGGATGTGGAGGAGGAGGTGGGGCAGAAGGGAGAGCAGGACGAGCAGGGGTAGGACGAGGAGCGCGAGGCAGTCAGTGGTTCAGAGTCTGCCTCTGCGGGCCGCCGTTTCCTCCTCCACGTCCTCCATCTCCACCTCCTTCCCTCGACCTTCTCCACCTCTTTTCATCCTCCCCGCCTCTCCATCTCCATATCGTCCATCTCCTCCATCACCACCTCCATTTCCACCTCCTTTCCACCTCGTCCCCACCTCCTTTCCACTTCCTCCATCTCCTCTCTCCACCTCTTAGTCTCTCCCTCCCCATCTTACCTTCACCTCCTCTAGAATATGTTCCTTTATCTTCTCCTCCTCTTCCTCCTCTTCGCCATCCTCCACATCCTCCTCTGCCTCTGTCCCGCCATGGCAAGCTTGCAAGACCACGCGACGTTTCCGGTCCCGCCGAGATTCCGATTGTTGGCAGAAGATGTGCAAGGGAGCCCATCCCAAAGAAGAACGAGTTGCCGTTCTGCCGTGCACTTTCCGCATGCTCTTGGCATGCAGTTCCAGTGCTCATCCTCACCCTCTGCCCGAGACTGGGGCTGCTGTCGTTCTCTTCTCCTGCAGCCCCAGCCTGCGTCGGCTGGTCGGCTGGAGGGCAGGGTGGTGGAACCTGTTGGGCCCTGGGCGTCGCGAGGCAACACCCACGACAGGTGTGCTTCGGACGGTCTCGGCCACAGGGGCCGAGTGTTTCGTGCCCGGGTGGCCGTCAACAGAGCGGCCCGTGGGGGGAAGCTGGCCCTGGCGGGAATCAGCTATCGGAGTGCACCCGCTCTAGACCTGCTTCGATCCTGGCCAGGCCAGTCTTGGGCCCAGGACTCATGTGCGCCTCTCTGGCCAGGCCGGGGTAGGGGGGGGGGTGCAGACGGTGTGCTGAGCAAGCCGCGTGGTGAGTCGGTTGGGCTTCGGGGTCACTGCGCGGTTTTGGGGCTCGGATCGTTCTCGGAGGACGTCTCGGGCGACCGGGGCCCCTTGGGTCCCAACGCGGTCGGGTGACGTGCCGCGCGGTGAGGCCGTTGGGGATCCCGAGGTCACCGCGTGGCCCGTCACAACACGGTTCTGGCGGCATCGAGCATGAGGCCCTGGTGTTTGCACCCATCAGAATTCTCAAGAGAACGCGTCAAGATTTTTGCTCAAGAACTTTCCTAACTCGAAGCAGGGGTGCATCGGCGTCACCCCAGCATACTGATACTATGTGTGCGTCGCCCCGCCAGGGGCGTCGCGCGTACCGAGGAATCCTGTAGTACACGCGTCGTGGCGGACGCCCTCTGGCTGTACCGCTCGGGAAGCGGCACACTACAAGCTTTGTGTCCTACAGTCAAAAACCCTAATAAGGACGCGCGACTCTACTCAGGGTACCCTTGCGTCCTTGCTCTTCCTTGCTCTTGCGTCCTTGGGGTTTTCGTCGTCCGCCGCCTCAAAAACCCCAACTCCGGCTTCCAAGGGTCTTGCGTCCTTACCGCGCGTCCTTATTAGGGTTTTTGACTGTATATGTTAGGGTCGGACGCGCGCGCCTCCGAGGAGAACACATAGCACTAGTGCAGATCCTCCTGCGTTCGAGCGTACGCCGCTGTCCTCCTCGGGCTCGTCCGCCACCCCCTCCGGTCGGAGGCCCCCCGTGGGAGGTCCCGCCGCGCGGGGCCTCCCCGCCCCCTCCTCTCTCGCGGGCCGCGGGCGGGCGCCCAGAGGTCCCGCGGGCGCAGGGAGAGCTGCGCTGGCGCCTGCAGCGAGCGTCGTCGTCGTTGCTGTCTTCATTGTCGTCGTCGTCGTCGTCGTCGTCGTCGTCGTCGTCGTCGCCAGGGCAACGTTAGGGGGGCCTCGGGCTCGCTTGAGGGGCCGGCGCGCGCGCGGCCTCGTGCCCCCCCCCCCTGCTGTCCTCCCTCCCCCCCTGCTGCCCCCCCGTGTTGTGCATCCTGGGGGCGGGTGCCCGCGAGTGCTCTTCAGTTTGGCCGGCGGAGGGCCTCGCGTTCTTGAAGGATGTGTTCCTGCCTCAGGTTTCGGCCATAGGCTCAGGGAGGGCGCTTGGTTCGAGGCTCGAGGTTCAGGATGCTCTGGCAGTTTCGCCTGTTCCAGCGGATCTCCAGCCTCGAGGTGCCCTCCAAGCGGCTGCGCCTCGCCGAGGGCTGCTCTTGGGTCTCGCCAGATCGCCCCGAGCGGCCAGCAGAGAGCAGAGTTATGACCCGAAAGCCTGGGGGCAACGCTAGGGAGGGATAAGCTCAGGGGATGCCGCACCGACCCCCTAATCGCCCATTCATCGCCGACACGGGCCCGATAGCCCACCCCGCCCAGGAACGTACGGTTTCGCTGTCGGCAGCCCATCGGCGATGTATCGCCGATTCCAGCTATGCTTCCACCCCTGAGTCAGTTCTCCCTATCGTTTCCCCTTCGGCCAGCTCCGTGGGTCTGGCTCTTCCCTGGGGCCTCTCGCGCCCACTGCGCGGGCCTCTGGGCCTCAAGGTACCCTTCGGGACATCGATCGTCTGGTTACAGCAGGATCTCGAGCATAAACAGGAGAGGTAAAGAGGGAGGAGGAGGAGGAGGAGGAGCAGGAGGAGGAGGATGAGGAGGAGGAGGAGCAGGAGGAGGATGAGGAGGAGGAGGAGGCTGAGGAGGAGGAGAGGAGGAGGAGGAGGAGGAGGAGGAGGATTGATGAGCAGACTCGAGGTGGGAGTAGGCATGAGTAGGATCGACGATTAGGATGAGGAGGAGGAGGGAGGAGGGAGGAGGAGGAGGGGAGGAGGAGGAGGAGGGAGGGGGAGGAGGAGGGAGGAGGAGAGGAGGAGGAGGAGGGAGGAGGAGGAGGTGAGGCAGGCAGCAACGCGAGGACGAGGACACGGAGGAGGAGGCGGAGGAGGAGGAGGAGGCGGAGGAGGATGAGGAGGAGGAGGAGGTTCGAGGAGGAGGGCCCACGAAGCCCCCCCTGCCCCTCGGCTTTGCGCGCGCGGCGCGACTCAGGCACAGTTGCCCAAGGATGTCATCGCCAGGAGTCGCCTTGTCGCGCGCGCGCGCGCTGGCAACCCCCTCCCATTTTACTCCCTGTGCTGCCCGTCGTCGTCGTCGTCATCGTCGTCGTCGTCTTCGTCGTCTTGTATTCGCCATCTTCTTCGAGTTCGTCTCCGTCGTTGTTGCCGCCGTCATCATCCTGCTCCTGCTGCTCCTTCTTGATCATGTTCTCCGCGCCGTTCCTCTTCCTCCTCGTGCTCCCTCGTCTTCCCGCTGCTGCTGCTGCTGCTGCTCCTGCTGCTGCTCCTGCCCCTCTCGATGTTCGGCACACGCCTCCGATGCGCCTTGCGTACCCTTGCCTGTGTCCATGTCCTCCATCCCTTTGTTTACAACTCCTTCGCTGCTACGACAGTTCGGCCAAAGTGCAGCGCTTCCTGTTAGGCGACGGGGCTCGGGCACAACGTTGCCAGTGGCGTTGCGCCCGCGACAAGAGAGGAGACGTCTACGTGGCCTGTTAGGCCGTGAGGGCCCCAGCGCAATGTTCTGTTCGATATGCCCGCTGCCATACGTGACCCGTTCAGGCGGGGCCGCCCTTCGCAGGCGGCCGTGGAGGCGGCGCCGGCGGCGCGTGGGCCCACCACGCTGGCGAGGCTGTGGCATGCCAGCGCTTGACGTGAAGCAGGCTCAGGTGCTGGTGCGCTATCTATCCTGATGACGCGAACGGCCTGGTGTGGCATCACCGCGTTCTTCTGTATCGTCTATCTGGCGGGCGCTGGGTGTGTCTCACGCCCCGTCTGGGGTTGCAGATCCACGACCTCAGCCAGCAGGGGGTCAGGGTGCTGTCTCGGATGGCGGCCTTCCCTGCCGCCGAGGCCGCCGCTGCGTGCGCATTCGACGACGGCGCGGTCTCGGCTGCGCAGCTTGCAGAGCTCGTGGCGCAACCGAAGGTGCAGGCCGCCATCCTGGTGGGCGCGGACTTTGACGAGGTGGAGGTCCAGAAGGTCGTCTACGACGTGGCGGGCGAGCACGTCGGCAGGGAGGTGCCCGACGCGATGGTGGCAGACGGGCAGGGCTTCGCGCCGCTGGGGTCGCTGGGCAGCGTGGCGTGGCTGGGGCAGGAGCGCCTCGTGGAGCGCGCCTCGGCCGACAGAGTGGACCACTGGAAGGAGAAGCGCGAGGAGAGCGAGGGCGACTCGCGGATCCTCGGGCTGCATCGCGGGTGGAGGAAGCGGAAGCTCGCGCTGCACGGCGCGGTCGGGCTATCTATTCACGGATGAAAGGTTCGACGAGTGGCCCTTCCCGCGCCCGCGGACGGTCCAAGAGCGCCCGGAGGCTGTGCGAGGCGGCCCTGGCTCGATGGTCGTCTATGAGAGTGAGTGGAGGCAGGAGAGCAGCGTTGGCGAAGGCACCGCTGCTCTCCGCGAACATAGGAGCAACACGGAGGCGCTGCGGCTGGCCCGCCAGGTGGGGCGGTCTGGGCGTCTTGCTTGAGACCTCCTCACCGTTTATGACCCTGAAACTCAAACAGTGGGAGCCGTTTCGCGGATGGAGGGCGGGCCGTTTTCAACATGTGGCTCTCGCCGAGCGCCGCGCACATTTAGTAAACATTTGCAAGCGGTTCACGGATTGAGGGCGGTTCTTTTTCAACATGTGGTTCTCGCTTTAATGCCGCACATTACTTAAACACAATGCAAGGGTTTCACGGATTCCCATGGTCAACGTACCAGCAATAGTGCTTTGGACAGGTCCAGGATTATGAGTGTGCATCAGTTATGTTGATTCCCGGTGTTGAATTCCCAGGAATGGCGTGTTGGCACGATTCACGATCGTCAAGACGCAACAGTCAGGTTGCGGGGTTGGAGTCCCGAACATAATGTTTTGGCATGCTCCAGGGTCTTCACACGGTTGTCCTCCAACGAGGCAGTTTCTTCAGTGGGAAGGAACCTTTGTAGGGGCCTATGAAGAGGGAGCTTGAAGGACGGGTTTATCCCAACATCGTTGATGATTCTTTGGTTTACATTGGTCCTCCTCCTCGCCCCGCGCCGTGAGATCTAGTTTGGGTTGGCCTTCTAGACGTTCGCCTCTGGCCTCAACAGTGGAGGGGTGTCGAGGCGAGCTCTCACAGTGACCCCCCATGAAGGTCTGGCTTGGGACAGGGGGTATCCCCCAGAAGGGCCCTACATATTGTCGTGCCCCTTAACTGTTCCGCTATCTTCCAGTTCTGGGGCCTTCAGTTTCCCTTACCATTGTTGCTCTGCTCTGCTCTGCTCTGCTCCCTCCCTCCCTCCTCCCAGTGCTCCTCCCCCTCCCCCCGCACGAGACGCGAGCGACCGAAACCCCATGATCCGTGCCAGCCTCGCCCAGCAGAGGCCAAATGGGTTTACGATCCTCCTCCTCCTCCTCCTCCTCCTCCTCCCTCCTCCTCCTCCTCCTCCTCCTCCTCCTCCTCCTCCTCCTCCTCCTCTCCTCTCCTCTCCTCTCCTCTCCTCTCTCCTCTCCTCTCCTCTCCTCTCCTCTCTCTCCTCTCCTCTCCTCTCTCCTCTCTCCTCTCCTCCTCCTCCTCTCTCCTCCTCCTCCTCCTCCTCCTCCTCCTCCTCCTCCTCCTCCTCCTCCTTCTCCCTCCAGCGCCTATCCTCCCCTGGCGTGCCCCCTCGTGGCTTTCGGGCTATAACTCGGGCCTCCAGTGGCCGTTCGGGGCGATCCGGGTCTTCCCGTGACGCTCCTGGCGAGGCGCAGCTGCTGGAACGCACCCGAGGCCTGAAAACATTGTTGAAAACCAACGAAAGCGTCAGGGTCCTCACCTGGTGCCTCGAGGGTCCTCCCCCCCCCCCCCCGGACGAGCGCCCCAAGGGGGCCGAGGCCAGCCCCGTCCCCCGTGGGGCCGCGCCCGATGGCTCCGGCGGCGCCCGCGGCCCTGGAGGACGCGCCGCGACCCGTCGGGCAGGGCGCCGCGCGCGCAGCCGCCCTCGGGGGGCAACGTGAGGAGGAGGAGGAGGAGGAGGAGGAGGAGGAGGAGGGAGGAGGAGGAGGAGGAGGAGGAGGGAGGAGGAGAGGAGGAGGAGGAGGAGGAGGAGGATGGAGGAGGAGGAGAGGAGGAGGAGGAGGAGGAGGAGGAGGAGGAGGAGGAGGAGGAGGAGGGGACACGCGTTCGCGGCGGGGGGGTCGCAGCCCCACGGGGCATTTTTCCCGGCCGTCCTGTGGTGTTGGGTCCTCGTTCTGAAGAGACGGTGCCCCGCGTCTCCTCTCCTCCTCTCCTCTCCTCCTCCTCCTCCTCGTCCTCCTCCTCCTCCGCCTCTCCAGCAACATCATCATCATCATCATCATCATCATCATCATCATCATCATCATCATCATCATCATCATCATCATCATCAACAACAACAACAACAACAACATCATCATCATCATCATCATCACCATCACCATCATCATCATCAGCACCATCATCATCATCATCAGCATCATCACCACCACCACCATCATCATCATCAGCATCATCATCGTCATCATCATCACCACCACCATCATCATCATCATCAGCATCAGCATCAGCATCAGCATCAGCATCAGCATCACCAGCATCATTGCATTACCATCAAGCTACCTAACCATATGCACGCTTTGAAGAGACGACGCCCCGCGTTCCTCCTCCTCCCCTCCTTCCTCCTTCCTCCTCTACCTCTGCCCTCCACAACTCAGCCATGTCGGCACACCCCTCACACGATTCGTGGTCCATAGGGGGCTCCCCCGAGGGTCCCAATGGCGGTGTTCGCATGCGTTTCCCCCACCCAGGACAGCGTTTCGTGGCCCCACAGGCGCTCCACCGAAGAGCCCAGTGGCGATGTTCGCATGCGCCTCCCCCACCCAGGGCAGCGTTTCGTGGCCCGACAGGGATCTCCACCTCAGGCCCCAGTGGCGGTGTTCGAATGCGTCTCCACCGCCCAGGACAGCGTTTCGTGGCCCCACATCGAGCTCCACCTGAGGCCCGAATGGCAGTGTTTGCATGCGTCTCCCCCACCCAGGGCAACGTTTCGTGCCCCCATGGGGAGCTCCACCTAAGGCCCCGTTGGCGGTGTTCGCATGCGTCTGCCCCACGCAGGACAGCGTTTCGTGGCCCCACAGGGAGCTCCACCTCAGGCCCCAGTGGCTGGGTTCGCATGGCGCCACCGCGCCCATTTTGGCACACCCCTCACGCGTTTCGTGGCCCCACTGGGAGCTCCACCGAGGGCGGGGCTTCCAACTGCGGTATTCACAATTGCATGTGGTTAGGTCCTTCGCCTGGATGATTGTTTTTCCTAGCCCGAGTCCTCTTCCCAGACGTGATCGCGTCGTACAAAACATCAGGACGGGAGGTTTTTTGCCAATTTCGGCCTCGGGGGGCCCTCGTCGTGCTTCGGGACCGTCATAAAACGACTCGGGATGAAAAACCGGTTTGTGGGAAAGGGTTGGGAGTTTCAGGGACCGCGTATTGACAAAATCAGGACGTCGCATGTCTGAGTTGGTAATCCCTTCTCCGATGTTTACGGAGCGTTGGCTTAACGTGTCGCGCCGCCAGTGCTGGCCCTCCACATCTCGGCTTCACACGCTTAGCACCTCTCAGCCCCCAGGCGTCAACGTTCCGAACTCTTCCCGGCCTTCCGCCCCACGGAGCGGAGCAACACGCTATCCGCTTGCAGGGCATGGCGGGTCGACGGGGCCGCCGCCGCGACACGTTAATGAAAAGTTTCTGACCGTAGAACGTCCACGATTTCTCCGACGTCTCCGGGAGCCGAAAACACACACACACCACACACACACACCCTTTGTGGAGCTGCTGTTCCCGGGGTTGGGGGCACACGGTGGTTGCCGTGTGCGGGAATGCCCCCGGGAGAAATGCCACCGCGCCCAAAAAGGAGCCCCCTGCGGCCGCGTGGGGGGTTTGCGGGCGGGGGGCGCCTGGGGGGGCGTCCGTCGCTCGTGGGGTCTTCCGCTCTCCCTTGTCCCTGTCCTCCTTCCTCCTCTCCTTCCTCCTCCTTCTTGTCCTCTCCCCTCTCTGGCCTGCGGGGGATGGGTATGCTGAGCCCGAATGTGCGTCCGTGACGTGCGAGCAACCCCTTGCCCTCGCGGTGGGGGTCCGCTTCGGCGGGGCCTGGGCTGTTGCCCCCGCCCCACGTACCGTATTCGGGCTTTGCACACCCCGCCCCTCGGCCCCTCCCCCTTCGGGAGGCGTACGGTCCCCCCCTGGTGGCCTCTGCCCCCCCCACCCCCCCCGTCGGCCCGCCAGGGGAGGGGCATAGCCCCAAGAGGGCAGGCGCGGCCGTGTAGGCCCGACCTCTCCCGCGGCGTGGCCTCTGTTTGGCGCAACAGCCGCTACAGGGCTGGCGCGGCCGTGTAGGCCCGACCAGACCCCGGCGCCTGTGGCGTTCGCTTGTTAGCGCGGAGCGTGTAGCTCCGAGGCCTCGAGCCACTGCTCTTGCCTCCTTTTTTCGGCCCGTTGTCGGTTGGCATGTGCCTTCAGGCGGCGTGGCCCTGGCGCGTACACGCACAGGCACAAACACCCACTTACATTCACTTGCACACACTTACACACACTTACACACACTTACACACACGTACACACACCTACACCCACTTACACACACTTACACAAACACTTATACACACACACTTACACACGTTTGAACACACACACACATACACACCTACACACACTTACGTACACTTACACACACGTACACACACTTACACACACTTACACCCACCTACAGACTATTACACACTTACACACTCGCACACACACACACTTTCACACACTTACACAGACTTAAACACACGTACACACTTAACACACTAACACACACACTTACACACACTTGCACACACTTACACACACTTACACACACTAACACACACTTGCGCACGTTTGCACACACCTGCACACACTTACGCACACACACGTACACACACTTACACACACTTACACACACCTACACACACTTACACACGCTTACACATACTTACACACACACACACTTACACACACACTTACACACACTCACTTACACGCACGCACCTACACACACACACGCACCTACACACACGCACGCACGCACGCACGCACACACGCACATTCACACACTTACACACACACACACACACTTAACACACTTACGCACACTTACACACACTACACACAGACACACAGACACACAGACATCCAGACACACAGACGCATCGACACACAGACACACAAACACATAGAGACACAGCCACACAGACACACAGACGCACAGACACACACTTACACACACTTACACACTTGCACACACTTACACACACTTACACACACTTACACACACTTGCACACACTTACACACACTTACACACAGACACACACACACTTACACACACTTGCACACTTACACATATTTACCCTTACATTCTCACTTACACACACAAACGCACGCACACACGCACGCACGCACGCGTACGCGCACGCACGCGCGCGGGCACGCACGCACGCACGCACGCACACAGAAACACACAGACACACACACACACCCACACACGCGCACACATACATACACACATACACTTACACATACACGTACACATACACATACACATACACATACACACACATACACATACACATGCACATGCACATGCACATGCACGTACACATGCACACATAGACCATACACACATGCACATACACATACACATTCGCACATTCACACACGCACATACACATCCACACACATACACACATACACATACACATACACATACACATACACATACACATACACATACACATACACATACACATACACATACACATACACATACACATACGCATACACATACACATACACATACACACATACACATACACATACACATACACATACACACATACACATACACACATACACCTACGCATCCACATACACAGGCACATACACATACATGTACACATACCCATGCACACATAAACATACATACATGCATGTCTGTATACATGCATGCATGCATGTTTACATACGTACATGCATACACATACATATACATATACATTTACACATATACATATACATATACAGAACCATATGCATATACTATACTTATACATATACATATACCCACACATATATACATACATTTTTATTTACATATACATTTACATATGCATATACATCTACACATGCAACTACACATACATATACATATACATATACATAAACATATACATGTACATGTACACATGCATTTACATATACATATACATATACATATACATATACATATACATATACATATACATATACATATACATATACATATACATATACATATACATCTTCATATACATGTACATATACATATACATATACGTATACGTATACATATACATGTACATATATACATACATATCCATATACATATACCTATACATATACATATACATATACATATACACATACACATGCACAGACATGTACATCTACATATACGCATACACATACACATGTACACACATACATATATACATCTGTCGGAGCAGGCCAGGGGAGGGCCCACAACTGCTATACATATAAATTTACTCACATGCACACATACACACACACATATATATATATATATATATATTATATATATATATATATATATATCGGAGTAGGCCGGGGGAGGGCCCATAACTGCTGCCTAAGGATGGCATGGGGGGCCAGGGGGGCCAGGGGGGCCCCAAGAGGGTTCAGAAGGGGCCCTGGACCCCTCCAGAGGCTCCCAAGCTGGCCCGAGAGGCGCCCAAGGCGTCCCAGGTTGTCTGGAAGGTTGCTGAAGAGCGCACTGAGATGGCTTCCGGACGGGCCACGAGCGCTCGAAGACAGCCCAAGACTGCTCCTAGACGGCCACAAAGGCACTCAAGACGGTCCAAGAGGCCGCCGAGAAGGCCCTCCAAGGGCAACAATCAAGCACTTCCGATGGAAAAACTTATATTTCTTTGACATTTGCTTTCCAGTCCTACCAGCGGCCGCGACGGCCCCAGAGGCTCCCACAATGAGCACCAGACGGCCCAAGAGGCTCCCAAGAGTGCCCGCAGACGGCCTGAGAGCTTCAAGCAGCACAAGAGAGCTCCAACACGGCCCAAGAGAGTACCCAGGAACCCCGAGGGGGCCACCAGAGGATCCCGACATGGTTGGAAACGGCCCCCAGAGGGCCCCAAAGAGGGCTCAGGTCCCCATGACGGGCGAAGAGGGACCCGGAACGGCCGAACTGGGCTCTCAAAGGGTCCAAACAAGGCCTACTAGGACTCCCTGAAGACGGTCCAAGAGGCCGCTGAGAAGGCTCCCGGGTGCAAAAAAGAGCATTTCCCCGATGGAAACACGTACATTTCTATGATGTTCGCTTCTTATGCTCGATCGGCGGCCACGTCGGCCCCCAAGGCTCCCCAAATCGGCGGCCAAGAGGGGCGTGGGACAGCCGAAATGGGCTCCCAGACGGGCCACAAAAGGGCCAAAATGACCCCCGCACGACTGGCCAAGAGGCCGCTGAGAAGTCCCTCCAAAGGCAAACATCAAACATTTCCGATGGAAAAGCGTATATTTCTGGGAGCTTCGCTTTTCAGTTCTACCAGCGGTCGCGACGGCCCAAGTGGCTACCAAAATGGGCCCCAGACGGCCCCAGAGGCCCCAAAGAGGGTTCCAAGACGGGCTGAAGAGAGCTTCGAGCGGCACAGAAGAGCTACAAGACGGCCCAAGAGAGCCCCCAGGAAGCCCGAGGGGGCCACCAGAGGATTCCTACATGGTCGGACAGGGCCCCAGGACGGCCCCAAGACGGGCTGAGCTCCCCACGACGAGCCAAGCGGGACCCGGAAACGCCGAAATGGGCCCTCAGACGGGCCAACAAAGGTCCCAAATGATTCCAAAGGTAGGCCCAGAGAGGCTCCAGAGACTGCCACAATGCTTCCAAAAAGGCTCCCGGCACGCGTTCCAATAGGCACTCGTGTACTGGGTTCGTTGAGAGAAGAGGGGAGGAGGAGGAGGACAAGGAGGAGGAGGAGGAGGAGGAGGAGGGGGAGCAGGAGCAGGAGGAGGAGCAGGAGCAGGAGGAGGAGGAGGAGGAGGAGGAGGAAAAGGAGGTGGGAGAGGAGGAGGAGAAGGAGGAGGTGGCGGAGGAGGAATATCAGGAGGCCGAAGAGGGGGAAGAAGAGGGGGAAGAGGAGGAGGGACATTGTTCTTGTAACATTATCTTGCTCTCATATTCTCTGGCTCTGGGAGGGATGCTGAGGACGAGGAGGGAAGGGGAGCGCAGGATGAAGAGGGCACACCGAAGAGCGGGGAAGACAAGGGGGGGGAAGAAGAGGATGAGGAGGTGAAGGAACAGGGATCCATTTCAGGGAGACGCCGACGAGGAAAACGATGTGTGTAAGATGATTCGAAGAGGGAGAACGGGAAGAGGAGGGGGGTGAGTGGACTGCAGTGGACCGGGGATGATGACGGCGATGACGCTGATGATGATGACGATGACGATGCCGACGACGACGCTCACGACGACCAACAAAACGTTGATGATGCGGATGATGATGCGGAAAAGTACGATTACGATGATATCGATGGTGATCACGATGCTTATGATAATGATGGTAATGCTGATTGTTGTGATGGTGATGGTGAAGGTGACCTTGACCATGACGATGACGATGAAGATGATGTGGATGAGGATGACAATCTAGCTAGAACTTGAGCGCGCGCGAAGCGCTCGCGATGGTTCTAGTACGTATATATGTATATAGTATGACGCGTAGGTTAGCGATGGGCTTCTGTTTCCATGCCAAGTCGGCGCGTTCCGTCGCCAAATCAGGCAGCACTGGGGTTATGCTTCGAGGGTTAATTCCCGTTCAACAGCAGAGGCTGATCACAGGTGTTCCAAATCCACGGATCCGTAGTCCATGTTGGCCTTTGCCCAATCCTCCATCCCCCCCGAAGTCTCGTCAGAGCCAAAGCCTCCTGAGCCCCTCCCCTGCGGCAGCGCCGCCGCCCACCGCCTCCACCCTCGCCGCATTCGCCGCCTTCCCCCCCGCCTTCACCTTCGCGCCTTGGCAGCCTTCGCTTTCGCCTCCGCCGGTCGTGGTCGTCGTGGTCGTCGTCGTCGTGGTCGTCGTCGTCGTCGTCGTCGTCGTCGTCGTCGTCGCCGCCGTCGCCGCCGCCGCCGCCGTTGCCGCACACGCGGCCGTGGCGCCGAGCCGCCCTCCCTCTTGACGAGGACCTGCCCGCTGAGGGCGGTGGCGGCTGCCCCGCGGCGGCGCTGGGGCCGCCCACGCTGCGCGGCCACGGCTGCGTCCTGGAGGCTCCGGGCGATCGCCGCCCGTGGCAGTCGAACCGCGAGGGGTTCAAGACCTCCTCGGGCCTTCGGGCGTCTTCGTGGCGAGGTTCTCGGAGGCCTCCGTCAGTTCCCAGTGGCCTCCCAGCCTCGGGTGCGCCTCGCCGAGGGCGTTCCAGGGCTGCCTAGATCGTCCCGAAAGGACGCTGGAGGTTTCTGTTGTGGCCCAGAATCCAGAGCCCCTCGCTTCCGTCGTAGTCATTCCTCGTTCGCTTCGTTGCGCCGTACAGCTACGGTCGGCCCAGATTAGCGGGTCGACCCGGCCAAATCAAGGGTACCTTTGTGTCCTGTGTCTCGCGACCCATGCCCCCCTGCATTCCTACGGCAATGTGGCCCTCGGAAGGGTCTTTGGTAATTCGGCTAGCTGCCCTCGCAGAGGAGACCGCTGGAGTCACCCCCACAAAAGAAAGAATCCAGAGCCCCTCGCGTCGCGGACAAACGTTCCGGAGGGAGGCTGCCCATTTTTCTGCTGCCTCTGGCGCCCTCCGCCGGGCCCCGGGGGCCAGCAGGACTCGGCACGGGATGTAAAAACGGTGCTCCCGAGGAGGGCCGGAGGGCATTCGCCCGGGAGCCTCCCCGAAGACCTGGACCACCGGCGCCCCTTAGATGCCTGTCTTCGTCTCCCCTGGGCTGGCCGCCCCCGTCGTCGCCCCCGAGAGGGGTCCAGACCTCTCTGGAGAGCCGCGCTGCAAGCAGGAAGCACGGCGTCTCCCCGGTTTTTCCGGCGGTGCGCTTTTTCAATGCCCGCGGTTTGCCTCGGTCTCGGCCTCCGGGGCCGCTGTCGGGCCTCGGGGCCATCAATCAGCAGGGAAAGAAACACACAGACACAATTAATCGTCGACTCCCACGAGAATATGGGGAAGTATGGGACGTGGGGGGAAGGCAAAAACCCAGAAAAGATGGGAAATATGGGGAAACCTTGGATTTGTGCGTATTTATTTGTGTGTCCTGGGGCCCCTTCAATCGAGCAAGCATGTGTCCGTGACAAACACTCCCCCAGGCAAAAGGGGTCGGAACGTCTGGGGCCGCGGTTAGGAAGCACACGTAGCCGTATTCCAGGGGGTGCGTCGACCACGCCCAGTGGTGAGTCAGCGTTCATTCGGGGTGGCCGCACGGTTTTGGGGCCTCCGAGGTCCCAAAACGGTGCGGTGACGGACCGGACGGTGAGGTCCTTCGGGATTTCGAGGTCGCTGTACGGTCTGTCACCGCACAGTTCGGGAACCCTCCAGAAACCTCATCCCCAGATCTCCGTTTGTATGATGTTTTGTATCCTGGCGTTCTTCTTTTAGATCTCGGCTTCTCGGGCCCGCTATCGGGCCGCATGACCATCGAACAATCAGACGGGACGAAAGCTACCGCCGGGGAAGGGGTCGGGACCTCCGGGGCCGCGGATTGAAACCATGACATCGTCAGACGTCTAGGTCATAAGGAATAGTACCCGTTAGTCGTTGAAAGGAGGTATTTTCTGATTCCCAGGTCCTAATCTATTTTGATCACCTTCCTACTTCAAGGGTCAAGCGGTTTTCGATTTTCCCTCCCCTTCAGGGGGCGGGCGGGTGCCCAATCTACTTCCAACGCCCGCCCACTTCATGGTTCGACCTACTTCTTCCGACCGACGGATCGCGTTCCAAAGGCACCTTTGCGTCCGTGCATCTCGGCCCACCCTGGCCCATGGTCGCGGGACATGGATCTCAACCCTGGCTTGGCTCTCTGCGCCCGGTCGCGCTGTACTCAGGAGGCGTTTGACCAGAAGTGAAGCTCCGAGCGGTGGTCAGCTTTCGATGTCGGCGAGTTGGCTGGCACAGGGGCGTTCCGACAGGATTTCAGCGGTGGTGGCACCGCCGTTTGCGAAATCAACGCCCACCAATAAAAGTACGGAACGGCCCCCCTCACCGATACCCCGCACCTCCCTGTTGGCAGGAGACCGCGCCAGAAGGGGGTGCGAAGTGTTGCGAAATCAACGCCCGTTCTTGCGACGGGCCGATCAAGCTTGAAATGCGGGGGCGATGGGGGCGCGTTTCGATGTCTTGGTACCTAGACCCGACATGGGCGTTTATTGCGAAGGCCTTACGGCTGGTGCCGCCGACCTTGGATGGAGACGACGACGACGACAGCGGCGGCGGCGACGACGACGACGCCGACGTGGGCCAGAGTCTTCACGGGATGCTTGGGGTCTTCGGCAGGCTCTCGGGGTCCTCTGGGGAGGGATTTCCGTGCCCCTCGGGAGCGTCATGGGGGCCTCTTGGAGCCTCTTGAGGCCCCCTCGGCCTGTCGGTGGCCGAACACTTTCGGACGAGCTCGCCGAGCACCCGCCCGCGCGTGCCTGGCGCGGTCGCGCGGCAGACGGCCCGCGCTCGAGCAGTGCGGCGAGGCGCGCGCGCGGCATGCCTGGTGCGCGCACCGGCGCGGCGCGCGGGGCACGTGCGCGGACCCCGCGCGCGCGACGGCGACGCCGCTGCCTCCGCCCTCTCTCGGCGGCAGGCGAGGGGGGTGGAGCGAGAAGAGGGGCGGGCCTTCTCGGAAGGCTCGGAAGTCCCCCAGCCTTCGGAGAAGTTTTCGGAGCCTGCCCCGAAGGCGCAGAAGCTTCTCGGGTGGCGCGGGGGCTTCCGAGAAGGCCCGCCGCCTTCCGAGAAGGCCTCGTCCTTCTCAGTTCCCCCCCTCGCTCGCCGCCGATCCTTTCTCCCCAGGCATCCAGCGCATATCGAAGAGATCCAGCAGGGGAGGTGTTGCGACGCTTCTGGCCTCCAGGGGCCCTCGCCAGGTCCTGGGACCGCCAAAGTCCGACGCAAGGCGGGAAACTGGTCCATGAGGAACGGGCCCGGACCGGGGACCCAGCACCGAAAACATCAGAGTACCGAAGGGCGCTTGCGCGGCCCGCGTGTGCGACGGCGACGTCGCTGCCGCCTCCTCGTGTTCCTCTGTTCTCCGGGGCAGGCCGAGGCAGAGAAGAAAGTCGTTCCACCGCGCTCGGGAGCACACTCGGCGCGTGCTTTGGGAGCGGCCGCGGCGGCCAGCACATCCTCTGGACCCGCCGGCTCGCAGAGCTTTCCGATGCCCCATCCGCACCCAGATCTCCGACAACATTCCATGTTGTTTTATCGCCGTCGCTGTCGCTCGTCGTCGTCGTCGTCGTCGTCGTCGTCGTCGTCCTTGTCGTCTATTGTTATGTCGGGCCTGTCCCCCTCCAAAATATTCCCAAAAAGTAAAGAATATTAAACAATAGTCCCTGGACTATTATGGGATCATTTTTTGATTATTTTTTGGGATTTTTTTTTTTTTTTCGTGGAAAATCCCCTTTTGGGGGGACAGGCCCGACTTAAGTCTATTGTTGTCGTCTGGGCTGGCGTCGTCTCGTCCTCGCCGGCGGCGAAGAGATGGCGGCAGGGGCCCCTCCGGAGAGGCGCCGGAGCCCGCCAGCTCCCGGGGCAACAACTTCGCGAAGGGCGCGCAGTGGAGCCCGGACGGCTCTGTGGCGCCCCGGCCGCTGCGGAAGTCGTCGCTGCTGCCGCCACGAGCCCTGTCGCCGTCGCCGCCGCCGCCGTCGCCGTCCTCGCGACTCGCCGTCGCCGTCGCCGTCGCTCGCGCCGTCGTCCTCGCCCTCGTCGTGGTCGCTGGGATTCCGTACGTCGTCCGCCGCCGCCGCCGCCGTGGTCGTCTTCCGTCGCCCTCCTCGTCGCCGTCGTCGGCGGCGGCGTCGTCGACGTCGTCGTGGCCGTCGCAGTGGTGGTGGTGGTTGTCGTCGTCGTCGTTGTCGTCGCCTCCGTCCGTCGTGGGCGTCGCCCGACGCGGCCGATGCAGCTGGCAGGGGGAAAAGGGAGGAGACAGGCGCGCGCAGCAGGAGGGCCCGCGGCGGGCGGTTGCGGGGAGGGAGGCTGCCCAGTGTCCGCGGGGTCGAGAGGAGTCACTGCGTGGCACCGCAGGGGCTTGCTATACAGTCGGGCCGAGGTATAAGAGGGAGGTCGGTTCTGGGAGGGTGCCCTGATGTTCTTTGTGCTTGTTGGATGTTTTTGTGCATCCTGGGGGAGGGCACCGTTGAATGCTCTTAATCTTGGACAGAAGGAGGGTCTCATGTTCTTGAAGGGTGCTGTCCTAGGTCCGACTGTATTCTATATCATATTGCAGACAATCCCAGGGATGCTTGTCCAAGGAGGGTTGTCCGGGGGGGGTGCCTGGATCCCCGCTGGGTTGTCCAAGGGGTTGTCCGAGGGGTAGGTCGTCTTGTTATCATTTTCCAGCACGGGTTGTCCGGGTTATCTGGGGGGGTATCCGAGGATTGCTTTTGATTGGATTGCGTTTCCTTTGGACATAGTAAGCACATCCACCGCCAGGAGAACCGACCTCCTTGACCTCTGGAGGCGGCGTACGTGGATATATTGCCGACGCTTCGCGTATCCCCACCAGCTATTTCGGATAGGAAAAAGGGCCCGCGCGCGCGTCCGCGTGCGCTGCCGACGCTGTCCTGCGTCCCAATGAGGGGCATTTTGTCCCTGGCATGTGCGTACGCCACTGCGGCCAATTTACTTCGTACCGCGCCCCGGACGTTGTGCCCGCTCCCTGTCCCTCGCCTTGGAGCCGCGAACCAAAACGTATCCCCACCAGCGCTTCCGCGCCATTTTGGCTGCGTCTTCTTCGCTGGCATTGTGGAGTTAGTCTCATCGGTAAAGTCTTCACTGCGTTTTTGCTTTCACGCTCGTCGGGCACATTGTGTTCGCCACGCTCACGTACAAGTTCTTCGTATCCGGCACGCTCTTCTGCCGCGTACTACCTGGTCGGCTCGCGGCCCTTCGCGTGCCGTCACTCACTGTATTTCTCTTGGCTACCGGCGCGGCCCGCCGTAGAAGGCTCGGCGTTCGACTCGTTTCGAACGCCCGCGGACCAAAAAGTATCCCCACCAGGCCATCCAAAATGAACAACCATGGCGAGGTGTCCTGACCAGGGATGTGTAGCAACATGCAGTCACGCTCTAGGAGTCTCCTGAAGGCTTCTTGGAACCATCATTGGGGCCCTATTGAGGCCACTCGGGGTAATTTGTTTGGAGGCCTTTGGCTTGCTTGGGGCCCCCTTGGGGCTCTTTTGAGCCCATCTTGGAACCCTTGGGGACCCTCTTGTGCCATCTTGGAGGCCATCGATACAACAAGGCGGTGGCGTTTATGCCAGTCTCCCCGTCGGGGCCTTCAAGATCGTTTCTTCGGGCCCTCTTTGGGGTGCCCATGGGATACTCTTCTGCGGTTTTGGGGCCGTCTTGGGCGCTTATTGGGCCCCTCGTGGGTCTCCCTTGGGCCATTTTGGAGCCATCTTGAGGCTTCAGTCGCCCATCGGAAGCGAAAAGGCGAGAAGGCAGAACACAGTGACTCTCCTAGGTTTTGGAAAGGTGTTTGCCTCCCGAGGGGATTCTTGGGAGACTCTGTGGCCATTTGGAGCCGTTTTGGGACGGTCGTGGCGCCTCTTGGAAGCATGTTCGAAGCTATCTGAAACCATTTTGCGCTTGCTTGTGTGACCTTAGAGGCCATCTTGAGCTATCTGCGGCCCTTTGGGGACCACTTTGGGACATCTTGGATTCCACAACCCGTCGCAGCCGGGCCTGTCCAGACCCACAGAGAGGGGATAGGGGGAAAAGGTTAACCTCTCACACAAGGGAACGAGGAGGTGGAAATAACTAAGTTGCTAAACCGCCTGAGGCCTAAGGGCTGATGGGATTAACGCCACCTGGGGGCCGAACGTATCTATATTGATCACCCTTCTGGGTCCTGGCACATCCTCCCCCAAGGTGGTGGACGTGTGTAAGTGTTGGAGAGGAGGACGCAGACGCATGGTGCGGGGGCCCCCCAGCCAGGTTCTGGCGGCGCACGACGACCAGACCCTGCGCCTCTACTCCGCACCGGCCGAGGCTCGGGGGGAACGGTTGGACCCCTGCCTGTCCTCCTCCTCCTCCCCCTCCTCCTGCTCCATCCTTAAAGTAGACACGCGCGATAAGAGATCTCGCAACAAAACATACATGCGCGCGTTTGTCGTTGATCTTTCGGCCTTCTAAGGTGCCTCCTGTCTTCTGTGGATCCCCAGGGCCACTTGGGGCTCAGATGCTTCTGTTGGGCGCCTGTTGGCAGGTTGGTTTCTTATCTCTCCTGCCTGCTGTGAACTACTTCTTCCTGCTGCGCCCCCAGGGGTGCCGGCAGGGCGGGCTGGGCGTCTCGCCCGAGGCTTCCTCACCACCTCGTGCCCCGAAGCTCAAAACATGCAACGGTCACAGGGGTGGACCCTTACCCTGCTCCTCCTCCTGCTCCTCCTCCTCCTCTTCCTCCTCCTCCTCCTTCCCCTCCTCCTCGTCCTCCTCCTCCTCCTCCTCCTCCTCCTCCATTCCTTTTCCTTGTAGCCCCAAGGCCAATGTTTCGGGTGTAACAGTCCTGCTCCTCCTCCTGCTCCTGATCTCGTTCGGCCTCTCGACCCTGCCGTTGTCGAAGGTGTTCCCTGATCGGGTAACCAGTCGTGACGGGGGTACCGGCCTCCATCTATCGACCTCCAGCGTCCACCAGCTCAGAACTCAGCACTCCGTCCTCCAGCGTCCACCAGCGTAGCAAACACGACCAACATGCACTGGGGGCTCCGGCCCCCCCGCGCATGCCCTGAGCGCTCGCCTCGCCTCGCCCCCCCCCTCAGGGGGCCATTTTGAGACCACCTTGGAGGAGATTGATCAAAGGATGCGCCGTAGTACATGAGAGCCTCCCCAGGAGGCCAACATGAGGCAACGATCTTAGTATCATCAATGATTTTGGCCTTCTTGTCGAGGCCTCTTGGGTCGTCTTGGGTGTCCTGGGGGGTCTCTTGGGGCGTCTTGGGAGTCTCTTGGGAGCCTCTTGTGGGAATGTTGGGGGCCTCTTGCGGGCCTTTCGGGTGGGCACCTCTTGGGGCACCCTTGGGAGCCTCGGGGGCCATCCTGGGGCCATCTCCTACGCCCTCTCCACCAGTAGGCCAACATGTGGCCAAAATCATCGTACAATCAATTGCTTGGGTCTCCTCGCTGAGACCATCTTGGAAGCTCTAACCCCTCGCGATTCCCCCAGTCCAGGTCCACGGGGAGGGGGAAGGAGAATGGGTAAACCTCTCCCACGAGGGGAAGAGGAGGGGTGGGAAGAGGAAGCGCTCTAAACAGGTCACGCCCTAATGGACTGGTGGGATTCCGCACATAGTGATTTTGCAACATGTTGCTTGCCAGCCCAACCGTTACTTCAGCAACCTGTGGATAGCTCAGCTTACATGGGCTTGACACCCTCGCGGTCATCACGTTCGCCCCTCTCGCACTGTAGCTGCACATGCAATGCCTTCATATGTTTACTAATACCCACTCACGGTTACCACCATCCCCCCCTCATGATCATCACCGTGACCCACCCCCTCCTCTTAGTGCTGGCAGCGCCTTCCCGGCCATGATGTGAGCCCCATGCCATGGCCATGCCGCCTCCGTCAAGGCCATGATTGGGACCCCTCCTGGATCATGACATTTCGCCCCCCCTCGCGGTCATCCCATGTTTTTCGTGTTCTCGGCCATCGGCTTCGAGGCCGCTGCCCAGGCCCCGCTCTACCATGACCTTCACCCAGCTGGCGGTCATGTCCTACACCCCCTCGACGTCATAATCGGCACCCTTGGGATAAGAATTCATCCTGGCATTGAGGTCCTCACCTTCGCTCCCGTCGCAACAATGCCCTTCCCCCATGGCGTGAGCATGCTGATGGACTCCATCCGGCCCATGACCCTAGGTGACCCCCGCCTCCCTCCTGCTCATTACCTTTCCGCTCCGATGAGTCCTTCGGCAGTCCCATAGCAGTTCTTCGACGCAGGACCAAGATTTGAGGCGAAGCGACGCGAGCCCTTGAATATGCTACGAACAGTTCGGCCACAATGCAGCGCCTCCCGTTCGGCGACGGGGACCCGGTACAACGTTGTCAGCGGCGTTGCGCCCGCTACAACAGCGGAGACGTCACAGGGGCCTGTTAGGCCACGGGGCCCCAGTACAATATTCTGTTCAAGCACTATTTTGTTCAAGTCTCGGGCGGAATCGCCATTTCGAATTCGAGCCCGATGGTTTCGAAATCCAGCCGAATCGTTTTTGGAAGGAAGTGTCAAGCCCAAACCACACTTTCGAGATCTTGGATCAGGAATTGACATCCTAAATGCCAGGCGATGTGGCCCTTTCGAAACGACGTTTTCGCCTGAGACTTCCAAGATAACAATTTCGAGCACGTTCGAAACATCCGAGCTCGATTTCGATATGGCGCTCCCTCCCGAAGACACCTTCCAAACTAGAGTTCGAGCCCGTCTGGTTCACCTTCGAAATGGCGCTCCCGCCCAATACCTCCTTCGAAACAGAATTCGGAGCCTTCGGGTTCTATTTCGAAACGGCGCTCCCGCCGAGGACTTATACATTCTCCTGGTCGATTCCTGACGCTCCCGCCAATTACTTCCTCGACGCTCCCGCCTAAGACTTCCCTTGGTGGAAGAACACAACGTGGCAAACTTATCGTAGCGCCGATGTCTGTTAATAGGTGGGAATACCACGAGCCAGTCACGGGACAATCACGGGACAACTGCGGAACAACCACAGGCCAAAACGCTACAGCCACGAGACAACGACGGGGCAACCATAGGACCACCGCGGGACAACCATCAGGCAGCCGCGGGATAATACCAGAACGCCGCTGGACAATCACAAGACAACCGCGGGACATCTATCTGAGTACCCATCTGCCGATTTCGTGTGGGGGGGCCGATCTATAACCAGTCGTTTCGTGCGTTTTGTATGTCGCAGGCATCGGGCTGTCGATCTGGCTGGCGGGGCAGCCCGTGAGGAAACGGTCGGTGCTGTTGCTTGCAGGGGCTAAGGATCCTCCTCCCCCTCCTCGCTCTCCTGTTGTCCGCCCCACACCCGATCCTCGAAGGTTGCGCCGTTTCTTCCCCCCTCCTGGTTCTCCTCGTGTTCTTCTTCCTCCTCCTCCTCCTCCTCCTCCTCCTCCTCGTCCTTCTCTTCCCCCCCTCCTCTCGTTCCCCGACCCTCCTCGTTGTCATCCTGCTCACCCCCTCTCTTCTGTGTCTCTTTGCCCTGAGTAGGGTTTTGGGGTCAGCGCCTCATCCCTCTGACTTTCCTGTTCCTCTTCCTCCGCCTCCTCCTCCCCTTCCTCCTCCTCCTGCTCCTGCTCCTTGTCCTCCTCCTCCTCCTCCTCCTGCTCCTCCTCCATGTCCTCCTCCTGCTCCTCCTCCCTCGTCTCCTCCTCCGCCTCCTCCTCCTCTCCTCCCTCCTCTGCTCTCCTCCTCCTCTTCCCGCTCCTCGTCCTGCTTTTCCTACTCCTCCTCCTCCTCCTCCTTGTCCTCCGCCTCCTCCTCCTTGTCCTCCGCCTCCTCCTTCTCCTCCTCCTCCTCCTCCGCCTGCTCCTCCTCCTCCTCCTCCTCCTCCTCCTCCTCCGCCTACTCTTCCTCCTCCTCCCTCGTCAGAGCAGGCGCTGGGCGGCGTCGCCAGCCGCGGCGCGGCCCCGACGGGCCCGAGGCCGTGGGCGCCGTACGCGCAGGCGGGTGGAATCGCTTGCGCCCTGTCCTGGGTTCCTCACAGCGTTAGGGGGGGCATATGCTCGAGTCTCGAAGACTGAGATTTGTGTGTGTGTGTGTGTGTGTGTTGATTGTTTGTTTGTTTGTTTGTTTGTTTGTTTGTTTGTTTGTTTGTTTGTTTGTTTGTTTGTTTGTGTGTGTATGTGTGTGCGTGTGTGTTTGTGTGCTTGGTTGTTTGGTTGTTCGTTTGTTTGTTTGTTTGTGTGTTGGTTTGCTGGCTCGTTTGTTTGTGTGCTTGGTGTGTCTGTTTGTGTGGTTGTGTGTTCGTTTGCGTGTCGTTGATTGTTTGTGTCTTTGTCAGTTATGCCTCTCTCTCTCTGTCTCTCTCTTTCTATGTTGTTATGTTTTGTTGTCTCTCTCTCTCTCTCTTTTCCTTTCACTGTTTCTCTCTCTCTCTCTCTGTCTTTGGGTGTGCGCGAGGCTCCTCGTGACCACGACCAGGTTCCCCTTCGAAGTTTTGGCCGGAGCGCATTCAGGGCTTTGCTTTTTGGGCGTGCCTCGCCCTTCTTGGGGCATGCTGAGGGCAGCGAAGGACTGTGAGGTTTGAGGTTCTCGGTCGTTTTCGTCGCTTCGTGTCGGCTGTCCAGCCTCGTGGTGCCTTCCAGCGGCTTCGCCTCGCCGAGAGGCGTCCAGGGTGTCCGGATCGCCCCGAACGGCCGCCGGAGAGCCGAGTTATGCCCTGAAAGAAAAGCAAGGGGGGATAGGCTCAGGGTGGGGATGAATCGTCTCCCAATCGCCCATGCATGGTTGATAGGGACCCGATGATCCACCCCGCCCAGGAGTGTACGAATTCGGTACTGGGGGCCTCTCGCCACTCTGTCGGCAATGTATCGCCAGTTCCAGGTCGATGCTTCCTCCTCCTTAGCTGGTCCCCCCAAACAATGCCCCTGGGATATGATTGTCCCAGTCCCGACGCTTTTCCTCGATTTAGGCCATCGGGCCCGGTACAGTTGAAACCCATGCCAAGTAACACCTTGTTTGCCTCCAAGGTGCCCTGGGCTTCTTGGACTTCGATGGTTTTGCTATGGAAAGCCTGACGCTCCCACACCAAAAGTCAATGGACGTCCTGGGGTCTCAGGGTTGGGTTTCTTGTGGATGGTTTCTTGTGGTCGAGCTCCTACTGTATCGGGCCCCAGAGACGTCGGGAATGGATCTGGGCGCAGAACTGCCCTTTGGGGAGGGGGAGGGACGCCAGGGGCTGCGGATTGCATGCGTTATCTTGTCGGAGGTCTGGGTCCCCGTCGGGCTCCCAGGCACATCCTGAAGATTTACACGACCTGAGGGTTCTCCGCCTTCCTTCGCGTCGCCCCTCGCCAGCTGGCGCCCCTGTGCATCACGGATGCGCCCCGCTGTTGGTTGGGCCGCTTGTGGACCAGGCTAT